ACTTGTTTTATATTGTGACTGTGTTCCAGAGATGAACCTCGTCCAAATGACACATTTCCTTCCATGTAACCATAAAGAAAACGTACTGTTCAGATAAAAGGTTTCATATTCAGAATGTACATAAGGTTTAGATACGGCTGACAATCTTTGTATCTCATCTAGTAAGTGTGACATCTAACTTGAGTCTTTCGTAATAGATAGTTTTGAAGAAGATTGCGGATTGTCACAGACCTCATATGCCCGTTAGTTCGTTTTTTGTAATCTAACTTTGGGTTTTTTCTTTTTGGGACCAATGTTATCTCTGCCCCATCTGCTTTCTTTGGTCTGAATCTGCGGTCTTCTCTCCATTAAATGCAGACAGTCTCTTACCAGGAGCAACTCTTTTCCCCTATTATTGTGGTCACTTTGCCTCATCCATTAAATGGGCTCTCAATGGTTGCAGATTTCTTCAATAGGAGACAAGGAGCATTTTACTCTCATGGTTGACTTACAGCCATCATCTTTTTCATCCGGTTTTCCTTAATTTCTCCTTCCCCCTAAAGTAAAGCACACAATGAGGGCAAAGTGTTCTTTATGCTTCTTCTCCTCTCCTTTCCTCACTAGCACACTCACTTTTTTAACCTCCCCACCTCTCTCCTCTGTCTGTGCTTCTGAGGGTCGGTGCTTTCGCTGTTAATCAGGGAGAGCATGTCTCCGGGTGCTATTAGCCCACTCAAGGCTGCCCACACTGTACTATGATGACCACACACACACACACACACACACACACACACACACACACACAAATACACAGCTCTGTATTACCCACTTATTTCTCCCTCTGTAGAAACTCAAGAGGGAAATCAAAGCAATCTCAACAGTATAGATAAACCATGTGATTGAACATGTAAGCCATCTATGAAATAAGCTGAGCATTGATTCACTCAAGTAGAAACACACACACATGAACATGCATTCACGTATTGTACATCCATTGGGTGCAGAAGGAAAATGTCAGTGTTCTATTTCTGAAATAATTGTCCTATCCCTTTGTTGCTTTGTGAGCAGAACATGGGTTTAACAGCCCCTTGATAAGAGGTATCCCTCCTCAGCATGGCTGCACACATTAAAACCTGTACTGCAGAGTGCCTTCAGTAAACACAGAGGTAGGTAATAGCTGACTGACCTATAATGCTACTTAACACTTTCTGAGAATATACACTATAAATAATAAAACACACAAACATTAATTGTGTATGTACGAGCACATTGATATTAAAGTGCACACTTGCATTAAAGTGTGTCGGTGTAATCCCGTTCTGTTTTTAAAGAGCTGCACATTTTAGGGGTCTTGCTGAACCGAGCAGAGTTAAGCTGCGGCACAGGCAGCGAATGTAATCACATTACATCCTCGTTGAGTTTTAACGAGGTGAATTTTGAATGAGTGCGTTTAAACTCCACTGGTGTTTCTTCTACCTCTTCTCTGCCCTCACCTTTCTTTCTCTCGCTCTCTCACTGGTCACTCAAATCCCCCACAAGAGGCAGCCATGAGCCATCCACGCCGATCATCGAGTTCCCATGGTGACAGGTAATCTCCTGAAGCACTTCATTCCCCTACACGTGACATTGAGTGACACGGTGGGAACACAAATCCGCAGGCGCGCCAGTATGTAGCTAATACTGTATGCACAAGAAACACACAGACACAGGCACACACTGTTTTGTGCAAGTAGCTGGGTTGTATTTTCATATTTGTCTCTACAGTAAACTATTCCTTTAGTGAAATGTCCGTTTTTCTCTTTGAATAATGCACGAGAATATGCTCATTTTATTTTGTTTCATAATACATGATGCGCGTAAAATAGGACAGTTGCGTCAAATCATCTGGTTCAGACTTTAATGCATGACTTGATTTGACTCAGAATCAGGTCCACGTTTCCAATTCCCTTCAACAAATCAAATCATTTATGTTTTGTAAATGTTTGCTCAGCAGCGTTTGACACTGTAGACAGGACAGCTTAGGAGTTCATTCAAGTGTTTGTAGTGCTGAGATATATGACCCACAGTGGAAATTATCATTTGCTCTCACGACATCATCCTCAGTCAATGCATGCCATGTTTACTTGGAATCCGTATTCATGGAAGATTTTAAAAATGGGCCTTTTTTTTCCTTGCTGTAGTCTTACTGTTTTTCAATTTAGTCTCAAATGAATAAATTGGCATCTGTGGAGCATACAATCCCCCTGAACATTGATTGTTTTGATTGCAAACAGTCTGTTCTTATTATACAACACTGTTCCTTCCTACTGATTTCCCATAACAATAAATCTCCTCCCCAGTAATGGACGTCTCAGTCCCTGCCTTATATTCACCGCACGCCTTATTGTATCCGTTAACGTGCGCTGAAATGTCACCACTGTAATGTGACAGGCTTTCTTAGCAGAACTGTGCTAAACCTTGATGAGTGAATGCTGCTCTCCTACTTGCCCTGCAGGTCATCCACCGAGACGCTTCAGAAGAACAACAGCAGCAACTCTGGCGTTATTCTGGACATCTCGGCTCTCAAGATGGCGGAGGTGGACACGGAGGTGCCCCCTCTTCCACCTCGCTATCGCTTCAGGGATTTGCTGCTGGGCGACCAGACATTTCAGAATGATGACAGGTAGCATGAAAAACACTAGTTAGTTTATGCACCAAAGTATATAAGAAGCTGCTCAGGGATATTCCTGGAGGGGTTTGTGTGTGTGTGTGTGTGTGTGTGTGTGTGTGTGTGCCTACATCTACTTTATGTTTAAAATGACACTGTTTTTGACAGTTTGGTATTACACACATTTCAGGAGTTAGTTTGTGCTGAGTGTTGTGGTGTATATTGCTGTACCCTCTTTACCTCGAGCTACCTCATCTACTTCTGCTTCAGTTACTGTTTTCCTACATTTCCCAGCATGATTCCTCACGACAACCCCCTAGAGATGTGGCGGGACTTGTATTGGCTGCTGTTGGTTTTATGTGTAGGTGGATACAGAGTTTAAATAGAAACAGTGGAGTGAGAGGTTTTGTAGTGAAAAAGTAAAGAGTCTTGCCACTTGCTCAGACCTTGTGGCTGCATGGCACTGGGCTATTTCAACTACTGTCAGCAGAGAAATAATGGGTTTGTCTGCCTCTTTTAATGATGAATTTGACCTTGTTTAATTGTGGCATAGGTGCAATTTAGAAAAAAAGCCCCTGCACACACAATTGTAAGGGTTTGGCACCACAACAGATGCTGTATGTGGCCAGTTATTCGCAGAAATAAGAAAAACGCACAGAAGTACTAAAAAGTAGCTTTGAAATGCTTTGTTGCTTTATTAGATTTATTTTTTTAATCAGATTATAGTTGGCTTGAGATTGCATTTTCATCTTGCTTCTGAACTGAGCATGAAATAGCCCGTCCCTCGGCCCTTGACTGGTGCTACAGTCACTAGAGCGCTCGAGTGTTTTGGAGTCTCCTATGAGTTCAATTATTGCTGCGGTTGGAGAGGCAGACCAACAGATGCTGTTTGCTGCCCTAGAGGGGAGGAATTAGTCAAGCATCAGCCACAGCTGAGTACTGTGGGGCTCTCCATGGTCCTGAAACAAAGCCGTCTCACTAAAGTATCAGCACTCACTTCAGTATGGGCTTGCAAAGGGCAAATGGAAAGCACTGGTTTATTGTTTTCCTGTGGCTTTGTCAGTAACTTCAAATCCAAAGTTAACATTAGGGCTTCAACTAACGATTATTTTCCTTATCGGTTGCCTGGCCATCATTTTCTCGATTCATCAATTAGTTGTTTGGTCCAAAAATGTGGACCAAATGTGTGAAAATTGTTAATCACTGTTTCCAAAAGCCAAAGATGACATCTTCAAGTGTCTTGTTTTTTCCTCCACCCAAGGATATTTAGCATACTGTCGCAGAGGACTAAAGAAACCAGAAAATATTCACATTTGAGAAGTCGAAAACTAAACTCCTTACTCGCTGGAGGGCTTTTGTCATATCAGACACAATTGATTTATAATCAGACTGTTGTTCATAAACCAAGACGGTCGCCTCTAGGAGCGACGTTAGTTAGCTTCTTTTGACAGAAGCTAACTAAGGTCTTGCCTAACTGAAAGGGTCAGTTCACCCCCAAAAAAACCTACAGTTTCCTCTAGTTTTATCTAGCAATGCAGATACTGTAGTTACACGTGAAACGTCCACCTCCCAAGCCGTCCTATTGTTTTCTTTGTATTGTTGAGAACCCTGATTCATGTAACACAGCCGTGATCTGACAGTATTACTACCCCTCTCTTTCCAACCTTGCTTGGTGTCTCACTCAGAAAATAAAGGTTACATTACTGAATAAATAGTATATTTCATTGTTTGTTTGCGTAGTTGTGCCGGCCTATAACCGTATCGTTGATTTATAATATATATAAATATAAATGATTGAATCGGACGGACGGCACATTGTGTGCATTATCTCTGGACACCAGGCTCTTGGTTGTCCGGAGCAACAGCCGCGTTTCAGCAATGAGTCAATAACCTTCTGTGAGTGGCTTTTGTGTTTTGCGATTAGCTCCCTGATCTATATCTTGTACAAATGGACAGTGAATGTATGTATGTACATGTGAAATTTAATTTTATTTCCAACACGAGTTTTCTATGAGAGTAAATACATGACATTCAGTTTTGCCACCATCCTCTCTTTTGCTACCTCTGTATTTCTGTTCACTCTCTCTGTCTCTAGGGCCCCCTGCTGTATATTGCTGTCATTATGTTATATATCAATGCAAGACCTTTTGTCCACACATAACATTTAGAACAGAAATCCAGTATTTGACCATCCCCCCCAACACACTGCTCTCTGTGCTTTCCCAAGGGATGCAGTGATTTCTCAGTATTATTAAACTACAAAGGTTTATGGCTTTGGCCACTTCAACTATCAGTATTATTGACATAAAAGATCATGAAAGGTTTGAGCTGATCAATACAAATGAAGCAACACTGGCTTATAGTATAGATTACACTAAATATTAATTACATGAAAATACATTCAACATGCAGTAACATGAAGTTTATCTTTTAACAGACTATTACACGTGTACCCTGAGATGCTTTAATACAGCAATCACCTTGCTTGATATTGCATTGTGCATGTTTCATCCACAATTTCCCCCGTGAATTGTTCTGCTGATCACTATTCAATTGCAAAGGGTAATTAGGGTTTGTTGCTGGGCTACCGACGTGTGCGTGCAAATGCTAGGTCTTGTCACAAACTCACAGATCCTAGTATTTAAAACACACCAGCTTTTGTTTCTTCAAAATAAATAACAGCTGTAAACGTCAGCTTCTCACACACCTCTGCACATTGTGCGTTCGGCAGTGAATGAAGATGCACAGGAAGAAAACGCCATTATTGTTAGCATTTTATGGCGCTGCTCTGTAATTGCTAGTTTCCGAGCTCTGGAGTGGAAACAGGAGCAGACTCTGTCACTGGGCTTCGGGGACGCTCTGTTTCTCGGTTGATGATCTTGTATATGCTCATGGATTGTAATGTTCATTATTCCCTGTGCTTATGCCTCGTTGAGTGTGAAGCCTCTAAACAAATTAACCCCCAGAGGGAGAGTCAAACCCTCCCCCTTTCTACCCTGATGGCCTTTTGCATCTATTCTATCTGTCATAGTGGGCTATGAGAGTAAAAGGCAGTAGGGTTGAAGGACTATATCATACCATCACTAGAAGGGAGTCTTGTAAGGCAGCTTTAACAGGTTGTAACAAAGACAGCTGTATCAGGTTTACTAAAGCAAATTTACAATGGAGTGGTGTGTGCCCTGTTACCACTGTGCACAAATTAGTTTGGAACGGAAAGTCACATTTGAACTAGGAAGGAGCTCATTTACAGCAGCGCATCCTGACACCTTTTTTTGTTTTCACTTCCACAAAGGAGTGGGTGCTATGGATATCTATTTGTATATTGTAGTTTTGGGATATATTGGATTTCTAAAAAAAACAATTGATGAACTATATATATATATATATAATATATATATATATATATATATAATATATATATATATACTATGTATAGATAAAACACATTGAAGTATTTCATGCCGCTTATTTCCATTTAAGTTGTCCCCCGCTCATTATTTGCAACATCGCCCACAATGATCTAATACAGTGTCTCACAACTTTTTTACTTATTTTTTTAACCACAAAACGGGACCCTGCAACTACCCAGCCCATCTATTTTGACCGTTCTTATGCCTCCATACTGGAATTAGGTTTTTTGGTTGTCCGTCCCATTCTTGACAAACAAGTTTGTGGTTATAACTCAAGAATTGATGTGGTAATTATAGCACAATTTCACACAGATGTTTAATAGAATAGAACAATTAAATTATGATGGTGGCCCAAAAGGTCAAAGGTTAACTTCCACATCCTAATGTCCTGGAAAAAGACCTTTTTGTTCATTCAACACCATAATTTAGGAACAGAAGGGGGGTTTGGGCCATATTTCACAGTTCACACACACACTTTGACATTTTGGACTCAAAGGTCACAGTGACCTCAAAATAGCTTTTAGCCATAGTTTAAGAATGAATTGGGCGATTCCAGATTCCACACACATTTTGACTGGAATGACACAATGAGTAAACAATAAGTAGCACATTACAGGCTTTCATCTACCCGTCTTATCTATTCTTGCTATTCAAGTGTCATCAGAATCACTAAAATCTAAAAATGCCAGGAAAAAATAAAAGCACCACAGTTTGTATAAATATACACTATAAGATTAAATTTTTATATAGTAATGAAGTAAATGTGTGATGTTTATTCACTGGAATCATATGTATCAATAGTAATAACTTCCATTTAGCTAAAAAAAAAAATCCAAGTATTTATCATCACCACATAGACCAGAGGACTTTAAACTTTGCAGTATTTCACAAGAAA